TCACTTATAAGTGTATATAGCATCAACAAGTATCGAATATGTCACGTTTGAGTGAAATATTCAAGTATGCCAGATTATCACGGCATTGATGTGCGCTTCAAGCCATTCATGATCGCCTTTTTGCATTTTATGTCTAAGTTGAGGATCAATTAAGTGTATTCATATCGCTTGTGGCATATTCTTGATGTTGCTAAATGGCACTATATTACTTCTTGAATATGATCACAATTTGTTATTTTTGTCTATTTCACACCTTTTACATTTTCTTATCATTACTTTGTGATATCCTCAAAATATATTTTAGCAGTGCTATACGAAAAAAAAAACATATTCTCTACTCTAATGGCCATAGATTGCGAAGTTAGCAGGATTGTTTTTGAACGATTGACCAATTTTTGAGTGAATAAGAGGAAGTGAAATTGTAATGATCGATTACTGACAGTCACATAAGTAGGCCAGGAATAGGACTCAAAATCTTTCAGCATTTTGGCGATTTTCCCCGAAATTGATGGAAGTTATGAGATGGCTATTGTTATTCTCATTCTCTGAAACAGTGATAATGTATCCTCTAAAATGCATCAGTTCAGTGAAAATTCGCAAGTGAAGTTAGTATAGTGAGAGATTAATAATTGCTTGCTCAGGTTTGCTCACCAACCAAATCATTCCTTCACTCCACCGAATTAAGCAAACTCTCTCCCAATAATGGAATAATGTTTATATTGCCGTTGAAAAATTTATAGCTGCAGGAAACAATGCAATGCTATAAGAATATCAGGAGTACCGTTTTCAAGCGGCCTGAATGCTCAGGCTCGCTCAGCGATCAGTGACTGATTAGAANTGCTATAAGAATATCAGGAGTACCGTTTTCAAGTGGCTTGAATGCTCAGACTCGCTCAGCGATCAGTGACTGATTAGAACACAGGTAGAACTGATGGATTTAATAGAGTACCGACTTGATGTTATCGACTCCAACAAAAATATGTTGCCTGCAGATGGACTTTTTCTAATTTGAAGAGATATAGCCACAAAATTCTATGGGTATGTCACTGCCTGCTCAATTTATCAAATACTCGCCATATCGCAATAACACGAAATATCTTCAACTGCTGTTTTTCCAGCAAAGTGAACGAAAAGCAGAGCAGATCCTATCACTGACAAATTATCCCTTCAATTTTAAACCTATTCCAGAAAAAAAATTAGCAACATAATATTTCATTTTTGGAGCTTTAACCCAACTTCCCAACGACTTGTATCCTCAACAACGGGTTCATCCTGTTCTTTATTGACAAGAAACCATTCGCGAACGCCAATACTCTCCATAAATCCCCACGAATTTTGATTTTTCTCAAGCAATTTCTCGCTCTGTTGACAACTGTGATGTGCTGCAATAATCGCTGCGTTTACATTCACTCGATCACGAATTTCGGCATACTGTCGCCACGCAATCTGACGTGTTATAACACTTTTGCATATATTAGCTGTTCGATCAAGTTTGTCATTTTAACAGGTTCACATGCTTAATTGT